GATGAGTGGTGTGTGATGAGTGGTGTGTGTGATGAGTGGTGTGTGATGAGTGGTGTGTGAGATGAGTGTGGAAGGAGGGGCGGAGGCGCGGAAGAAGTGAAGCGGAAGAAGCGGGAGAAGCGGGATGAGACATAGAAAAGAAGAACCCCACACTAAGATGTCTGGGGAAAATACTGTGAATTAGATGTGGTTTGATAAGTGGGATGGTTGTTTTGAATTGGAGAGATGCTGTCTGATTGGCAACAAGTGATTGTCTTGTGGGAGTGTGTGCAACGTGTTTTTAATGAGTTATCGTTTGCCTGCTTTTTCATGTGAAAACATGTTGACTTTGCCCCGAGTAAATCGCCAAGGGGCGTTCCACTGAAGAATCGCCGCCAGCACGTACTCGGGAATGGCAACCCCACCTGTCGAAGCTACATAGAAAGTCGCTGCGGGTGAGTCGCTGCGTAAGAGTGTGCGCAGGTAAGCTGCCAGGTTAGAGGCCATCCTATTAGGTTGGAGGCCATCCCTACTAGGTTGGAGGCCATTGCTAGTAGGTTGGAGGCCATCGCTAGTAGGTAAGATTGTGCGCAGGTAAGTAGCTGTGAAGCTCAAACTGCCTACCCTGTCACATTGACATCCGTACGGCCTTCCTTCGGAACGGACAGTGGCACATTTAGACCAATATGTTGGCTACCTCAGAACTAGTTGCTTTGGGCTCCCACCGTTCGTGGTGCGCAGCTTGTCCATACACTCTATGAAACTCAGCTGCTATACCGAAAGTGCTGCCTTTTTGCTACTTAAACCTAACGGCGATGGCCTCCAACCTACTTAAACTACAACTGCAAGTTCACGGTTCACAGAATCAAATGTGCCATGGATGTTCAGTTAAATACGAGAAGGACGACCTTGACGGTGGCTCATGTTGGGCAAGCAATCTCGACCTCGTAGACAGAATTTGGGAATGGTTTTTGGAGGGTGCGTGGCGAGTTTCCTCTGGATTCGTGCAGCTTGGCTCACCTAGAGATGTGGAAGCCCCCTCCTCCCAACTGCTGGCGGTTTGTGCCCCTCAAGAGCCACATTACGCAAACGACGCATCTGATGCTTTGATCACTCTGCGAGCGGAAGAGAATGGTGGCAAGCAGGGCTAACTCTTGCACGAATTAATTCTTGCTCAGAGCGGAGCTGCTCATCACACTTGCAAGTTTTGTGGGGATGCGTCCTTTTCACGTGATCTTTCTCTGTGGCTAGAGCTATATGTGACTCACTTTCGCTTGGCTTCTGTGTGCTCCACCACCGAGTGAGTCAAGCGGTGCAAACGACCATCCAGTGCGTGACTTGGCGCGCCGTGGCAGGAATCATCAAAGCAGTCCTTTCCAGGCCATCTGCGAGGTGATCTGCGACGTCTACTGCGTCATCGCTAGCCCTCCAAGCCCGAACACCGTGGTTCAGTATCTGGGCAGCTGCACGAGACCTCCAACGGCACAGGACGGTGTGCGACACACCAAGAAAACACACCATGTTCTCTCGTCAAGTCGTGAAAATCATTCATCACGGCATTGCCCCCATGGTTCAAATTTGGAACAACTGTTCTATCTCTTCAAAAGCAAGATTATGAAACTCATTCGCAGGAAACATGAATACTTCATTCAGGAGGAAGGATGTGTGTTCTTCGTTCGGGTTCTTCTAACATCTATCTGGATCAGCCCTGGTTGAATTAGGAAGTCCATTGAAGTCCATTTCGCCTGGCCACTGTGGGACGGTCACGTATCACCCTCTGTATAGTTTATAGCATTAACTAAAGAATTTTGGAGGAATACCATGATGTCTTTCACCCCGCAAAGCCAGCCCCGGCCTTGACTCTCGTCCACATGTGGCCCAGCAGCGGCGGCATCACGCTCAGCCATGCAAGCCAGAGCGGCCCCGATGCCGCAGACCACGGTGCCCAAGGAACCCAAAATGATCCAAAAGATTTGAAACCATTTCCTGGGCTGCTTGGCGAATATCATGGTTGCTGGTGAGTTGGTCTGAGCTTTGTTACTGCAAGGCTGCTAAGGATCCGCATGTCTCTAGACAGGCGGGGTTTATGGACTCTTTTCAATTTCAAATTACACATGTGATTTAGAAGGTGGCGCCCTGAGCCGTGTTGGGCATAGTCGTGTAAGCGGTGCGCAGCGCACTCATACCATGAGCGCCAGTCCATTCACGACCTGTCTTGTTGATGCCGGGCGATGTTTCGCTGGACGGCGTGTTGGTCGGAAGCAGCAGCTTCAATGTGGAAGCTTTTCCAACATAATTGTCCAACCATTCCAACCACGCCACAGCACGAGGTGACAGGGGGATATCATCCTCGGGCTCTGCCATTGTGATGGTTTCTGAACACCAGGTCTTCATCGGCGAAACGTCTTTGGCGCTCAGCCATGAACTGAACACCACACGCTGAGCTTCACCACAAAGCTGCTTGGCACAGTCGGCACTCGGCCGCTGCAAAGGTTCTTGTCCACACTCGAAACCACACCGGTCGTGGGGTCGTCTGCCCATTGCAACTCCTCGAGTCTGACCACTGCGGCCTTTCTTTGAATTGCGTTTTTTCTGCATCTGCTATAGGCTATAACTGAGAAATGTGTAATGTAGACTCTTGATTGATAAAACCACCCATTTGGATTGTAAAACCTCCTTTTCATATGCGGGTCTTATTGATCAAAAACCTACATTATATAGTTGTTTACGCTCGACAAACAACAAAGTCTGGTGGGCCCCTATTGGTAGACCAGAGTGGGTCATTGGTGATCCCTCAGGCACCCGGAACCCGGCCCGTCGCCCCACCGGAGCCCCATGCTCGCCGGGACCTGAAGGAACCGAAAAGGCGCCCGGAACCCTCCCATTGTTTCTAATAGCTTCTTGTTACTACTAGTAACAAGTGCCTTACTAGTAGTAACAAAAAGCTATTCGAATTGAATTTAAATCTAAATTAAATTACTAGCTTCTTGTTACTACTAGTAAGGCACGTGTTACTACTAGCGTGGCACTTGCTTCTAATAGCTTCTTGTTACTACTAGTAAGGCACTTGTTACTACTAGCGTGGCACTTGCTTCTAATAGCTTTTTGTTACTACTAGTAAGGCACTTGTTACTACTAGCGTGGCACTTGCTTCTAATAGCTTCTTGTTACTAACCCAGTTTTCTTGTTGCTGAGCGGCGAGTTCGTGGAGGCATCCTTGAAGCTGTCCGGCCGTGCCAAAGCCACCGAACAAATTGTGCCAAAGGCCTTGGTCAAAAAAAACAATCATGGCCAAAGCGACACTGCTGAACACAAACGCGGCAGGACGGGGTATCAGGGCTAGCGGCTAGTGACACAAAGATGCACAAGCACGTGCAAGCGCCAATGATATACATACATATATGGTACGTCCCACTACAAATAACCGAGGATGATGATAGTTAGCACAGGGCCTTTCTCTTAAGTATAACTGTAATAGGACAGACGCATGCGCACACTTGAGAAAGAGCTCATGTGAGCAAGTTTCAAGGTGTCCCCAAAGATGCATTAACACTTTACGCTCTAGTTATTGCGTTAGACGGCTTATTGCAATCAAACCTGTACCTGTCAATGACCCTGAGCGAACAGTAAGGCGAAAAGTCGGCACTGATCAGGCCGCATATCCTGAGGTCTCCAAGAGAGCTTCGATGGGCGCAGCTCTATGGGCCTCCTACGCGAATCGCAGCAGTGAAGTGAAGCCGTTAAGATATCGAGAAATCGTGAAAGGCCGGGCGCATGCCAGCGCAGCTGCTCTGCAGACTCTGCAGCAAAGTAAAATAAGAGACCTTTTCCCAGCGCTTGTGAGACCACAAGGTGCGTCTTGGGGCCTTTGGTTTCACTTAAGGATACCGTGGTCCAACCATCGGGTCGGGTCTGCAAGGAAGCGAGGTGGACGCCTAAGGTCTTCAGGCGTTAAGGCTACCCCTCCTGAAACGCAGCTCCTGAAATGAAAGCTATCTCCTCTCTCGAACGTGGGCATTGCCATGAGAGGATTTGGTGGGAAGATAGCTTGTTGGACCCTGATCTCACAGAATGGCGGCATCTTCCTCCCACATGCAGCCTCTAACAACCACGGAAGTTAAAAGGCACGGCTGTGTGAGTTCTTAATGGTGAGTGAAGAGGAACCACTGGCTTCAGGGTGTCAGGTCCACATCATATAGGTGCCATGGTGGCTTGGCTTGCGCCATCTTCACGTTCCATCATGCTCCGCCTTCCCAACCTTTGCGCAAAAACATTCTAGAATTGCATACAAGACATAAATAGCTTTGAAAAAATTGAAGCAAAACTGAATTGGAAATCAACAAAAATAAAGTAGAATTGTAAACAACTCGAAATGGAATTGTATAAGATTTAAACTAGCTGAAGCCAAAAAAAAGTACAAATAGATTGGAATCCAAACAAAACTAAATTTGAATAAACATAAAACTAGATTAACTAACTATTTTAACTAAACTAAGATTTAATAGAAATTTCATCGTTTCAAATAGAATAGGGTTAGAATTAAGGTAGAATTGAAATAGAATTGCTTAACCTGCAGCTCGATTAGAATTAAATTCACTTATTCAATTAAATTCACGTATTTTGTGCGTATTTGATGTTTGGGTTTATCATTGCAGACGTTTGCATTCAGGAAGTTTATGAATGCTCCTTCCACACTGTACTCAGCACACAATCCAGAAATAGCGTTTGCAAACGTTTGCAAACGAGAGGGGCTTCAAGATTCAAGCTTTAAGATTCAATATTCAAGATTCAAAAGAGTTCTTGAATCTTGGATTCCAAACTCTGGATCCTAGATTCAAGAACTTCTTTTTGAATCTTGAATCTTGAATCCTCTCTCGTTTGCAAACGTTTGCAAACGCGATTGTTCTTGCAATTCTTACATCTTGCAGGTACATGTGCATAATATAACGTGTGTATACATATATATGGCATCCCCTTCTTCCCAACCAAGTGCAATAAGGTATGTGTGTATATATATATATGGCACCCCCCTTCTTCCCAACCAAGATTGACTGATAGATTATCATCCCCAAACACGAAATTGTCTAAAAGGTAGGTTTTGGGGGGGTGTGCCATATATATATATATATATCTGTGTGTGTGCTGTTTGTTGGTTTGTTTGTTTGTTTGGTTGGTTCCTTCCTTCCTTCCTTCCTTCGTTCCTTTGTTCGTTCCTTCGTTCGTTTCTTCGTTCGTTCGTTGGTTGGTTTCAGGTTCGGTGCAACATGTTTGATGATGGATTAGTGACCTCAGGTAATCCTCAAGTCGTTTCAGGTCATCACTCCTCGGGACAGCGCTGTCTGGGTTCCAACATTCAGGTGAGTATGAAGAAAACAAGAGACTTGTACCAAAGGTGCAACTTCATCTGAAACACAAATCCAGCCCAGACACATCCCCAGAAGCCCCAGCAGTGCGCACCCAGCAGTCTCTCATTGGCTGCTTTCCCCATTCCTGCGCCAGTGCATTGGTGCGTGCAGGGTAGATCTCATCGTTGGTGGCTGAAGGTAGACCGTACCTCAAAAAAGCAGGAAGCAAGCTACATTAGACCATTCTTCCTTTTCTTTTTCTTGGTTTCTACTAGCAATCGCATCCAACCTAAGAGCGATGGCCTCCAACCTAGAAGCGATGGCCTCCAACCTTCTAATAGCAAACTAAATTAGACCGTACCTCTTCTTCCTCCATCCTTCCTCCGTCATACCGCGCCACTCATAGGCGCAGGTCTTCTGCTGCTCCACCTCCACCAGTGCCCAGCCACTGTAAACCACACGTCGCCGGCGGCCCATGTCGAGGAGCCGCCGGCCCGCATCGAAGTCCTCCACGCTCGCGTCGTGTCGCGAGCAGAGAATGGGTGGCACCAGTTGATTCTTGTTGTTTAAGGGGATCTTGATCTGACTTGGCACACAAACGATCGAGCTCAAATATTTGGGTTCAGTGTCAGGTGCGGTTTACTGTGGGTGAGGAGCTCTTACAAAGCACCATTCGGGGCAAAGAAAGGTCGTTTTGAAAACACAAAGGATGCGCCTCCGATCTCAGAAGAGACACATGCATTTTGGGAAGAGTTCCTACATCCAAGTCACCATGACATGAGTGTTTGCTGCCGGTGTACAATGTTGGAATGGGTTTGAGGTACACCATGAATTAACTGGATAGATGCAAAACCTGCACATGAGAATTGGGCAATCAGCATCCTCTTGCGCAAAGGTTCCCTCACTCCCTCCTCTCCTTCTTCGTTGCTTCAGAGCCTAAAGGAACCAAGCACAGCAGTGTGTTGAAACACGAAGTGTTGCAACAGAACTTGTTCATCAAAATCAGCCCAAGCTTTTCTCTAGGACATATTCGCACGAAACATAGGCAGTGGTGGGCAGCAGCCAAGACTGGTCAATGCTAGGACCTGTTAAGAGCGATTCCCCCAAAATAAAAATCAACCTAGTAATTAGCCATGGCCTCCAACCTAAGAGCGATGGCCTCCAACCTACTAGCAATGGCCTCCAACCCAAGACTCCAGAATGCTAAGCTGTCAAAATAGAAAACGAAGAACGATCAGTTCTCCCAAGGAGCACTGCAGGGTTGAGGATGGCTGCACCAAATCCGACAATTCCTGCAGGATGGAGTGCAAAAGACTGACATTGCCGAAGGTTCTAACGGTCATAACGTCTGGTGGAGCGGACTGGAGGACGTCATACCTACCATGTGGTGCCACACACATTGATTTTGGTTTGTCCAAAATTTATCATCTGCTTTCATTATAGTTGTTCGGATGCTGATGACTCACACCGTTAAACAACACAAGAAGTGAGTAAACTCCATAGACTCTTATAACTTCCAGCCAAGAATAGACAATATCCAAAAATATCCAAAATATGAGGTTTCTGCTGCCCTGTTTGCCTGAAGCCGTGACCACCCATGACTCCTGTGGTGTGCACCAGCAGTACTTCGTCTGCCCCGGGGCCGGGTCCCCAAGCGGCTGCCCGTGGGCGTCGCTGCCGCAACGCACCGTGCCGCTTGGAGTGGAGACACGATAGTCGTTGTCGACGGTGGCTGGGGTGTAGACCTCTCACGTCGCATCTCCAAGAAACCTCGAGACTAATAGCAATGGCCTCCAACCTACTAGCGATGGCCTGCAACCTACCATCTACGGCCTCCAACCTACTAGCGATGGCCTCCAACCTACTAGCGACGGCCTCCACAACCTACTAACTATGGCCTCCAACCTACTAGAGGCTAGGGCCTCCAACCTAGTAATTTGCCATGGCCTCCAACCTAATAGCAGTGGCCTCCAACCTAGTAGCAATGGCCTCCTACTAATAATAGCGATGGCCTCCAACCTACTAGCGATGGTCTCCAACCTACCATCTACGGCCTCCAACCTACTAGCGGCTAGGGCCTCCAACCTAGTAATTAGCAATGGCCTCTAAGGCTGCGGATCTATTTTTGAAATGTTTACGTTTTTCTTTTTCGTGTTTCGTGCCAGGCGCTGTACTTTGTGGACCTTGAAGCGCAGATTTCGTGGCAGGTGCAGGACTTTGTGGA